CGGGTCCAGAGTCAGATCGGTGGGACAGCTATCACCACAGTGCTAGAGGGAAGGAAGGAATACAAGAGGGGAAAAAAAAAAAATAAAAGAATCACACAAATTACCACCACATAGCTTGATCTTTACTAATAAAGCCAAAGAACAAAACATCAGCATTTTTTTCCTCTTTTTCTGCCCAAAGAGCATCTCCATTTTTAACACTACTGCTTTTTGCAACAGACGGACTATTACGCACAGACAAAGCAAACCAGGGAATATTAAGACATTTTCCACATTTTAGTTTGATGTGATTTCTGAAAACAACGCCTTGATGAAATGCATTTTTTTCACCTTCACACAATATCCTTCCTTAATGGGCTACCTAGACAGCGCAATGCTGTGACGAAGAGAAAGGAGGAGCCACGGGGAAAGTCATGCCAGGAAGACAAGGCAGACGCACCGTCAGACGCTTCCCGACTCGATATGTTACGTTTCCAGCCTTGCTCAATTCCAAGAGGATTCTGCGGAGAAAGGCAGTGCCAGGCCCCACCGCAGCAGAAGGCTGGCTACGGTACAGAAAGAGCTGGTAGACTTGCTCATTATTTTGATAGGATCTTGGAGATCTGCTCAGTATTAAGCTGTTCTAGGTGTGTATATACCTATATATTTTTTTAAACCAGCAAGTTTTAATTCCCCTTGGGCTCCAGCCAGCCAAAATCACCTCCCACAGGTGCCATTCCAAACTCAGCAGCCAAGAAGGCATGTATGTATATCATCACTGAATGAAAAAAACCTGCCTGTTGACCCCCCCCTAGTTAAGTGGCCAGTACAACACATGCTTGGGATGCGCTGGGAAGGCCAGTGGCTTCTGTCCTGTGTTTGCAGGCAGCTCCTGCAAACCTGGCAAGCCCCTTCCCTGTTAACCCACCCCACATGCTCTGCAGTCACAGCAGAGGGGAAGGAAAAAAGGGGTGGGGGTGATGTGGAACAGGATGAGAGCTGCCATCTACCTCCTTTGCTAGGATTTCTGTGAGACTTCACCCTGGGCAAGTTTCCACCCTGGGCAAGTTTCCTCCCTGGCTTATCTATGGGCAGGATCAGTGATCCACAGGCTGAGGAAGGAAACACAGAGTTAGACCTTAGCATGCTTGCCACGGAGGAGCATCTCATTTGAGGTGGCCTCTGCTGGTACACCCTGTGTATCGCCTCCCCTAATCAGCTCTCCCCGTTCCTCACTGACCCCTCCGCTTTCTGCCGCTCTGGTTTGCTTCGCTCCAGCCACTTGCCCCGCAGCATCCCTCACTCCCACTGCCTTTCAGCATTTCCCTGGCTGTACGGACACAGCTGGGTTTGGTGCCCCCCACCTCCTCTTCTGCCCTTTGCCAGAGGGGTGGAAAAGTCTCTCCCACTGCTCCCGTGTTTTAGTCCTACCTGACAAACCAGCAGAGGAGCTACGCTGTGACATTAAGCTGTCCCTGCACTGGCACTGCCCAGCAGAACTGGATGTGAAGATTATTACCATCCCAATGGATTTGGCGACAGACACGGTGAAGTTCAAGGAAGTCACCCGCTACCAGTCAGAGATCTACGCAGGTGCAACACTGCTTCTCCAAGCCTGACCGCAAACACTGGCGCTCAGCAGATGGCCCGCAGGTCACATATATCCCAATGCACGCCTGAAAGGTCAAAGCCTCTGCCATCTGTCATGCTCCCACCTGATAGAAGGTATCAATTAAAATAAGCACCTGGAATGTCGGAGCACAGGGAGATCTGGGGGAAGGACGACAACACAGCTTGAGCGAGTGAGGGCGTGCTACACTTACTTACCATTCCCCAGCAGTAAGCGTACTTACTATCTGGAACACATAAGCCTGCTCTAAGTGTACTTACAGTATATCCCACTTCTCCCAAGCCGCCTGATACTCGGGAGCACCTGGAGGCAGGTCTAGTATTTCACAACCCCACCACACTACAAGGGGAAGCAAAGCACTGGCAGCACAGTTAAAACTAAGGGCAAAGGGCTTTTTCTGTTTGGATTTTAAGATGAAATCAACTTCAACTACAGCCTCTAGCAACGGTTTCATATTGCTCATTAATCTTCTGCAGCCTCCACAAGCAGCTGGTATTTATCGCTCCTATCATACTATATGGGCTAAACGCAACGGGGCTGGGAGAGGGAGGGAAGGGCCCAGAACAAATCACCGCCTTGGTTCGGAAGCAACAGTCATCCCGAGTTACCAGCGTGAGAAACTGCCCTGGTGCCCTCCCTTACTCATTTGTATACTAGATGCTGCAGGACAGGTTTATTACAAATCGACGGACAGGAGAGGAGAAGCAGTTACACTGTCCCTGCTCTGCTCTTGGCGGCAGCAGGAGGTTAGTATGGGTGACTCCACCTTGTTAAGCTCATGCCACGGGATGGGGACAAGCATCTCCACCCTGCTCTAAGTGCCTAACACACTAACCAGGTGCAGGTATCAAAGGGAGCCTCTCCTTCAGGCTTTCAAAAAAACCTCCCACAACAGCAGCGGAAGACAAGTCAGGTCCCTTCCAACCTGCTGTTTCTGAAAACCGAGATGGCCTCATACCTCTTCATCAAAAAAGGCTCATCTCCATCACCTTAGCTTCTAGGGACTGTGGAGAAAAATGCAGAAAAATATGACCATAAAAACGTTTTTCATCTCTTTTTAAAGTTGCCATCTTACCAGTGAACTGCAGTGAACTCTCTGGCCTAAGGTGGAACTCTCTGGGTAACCACGCTGCAGGAAGCAACACTGCTGTTGTGAGTCATGCGCAAAGGTACGGGACAGAGGTTCACACAGAGACCAGCTTTTTGCTAACGACAAAAGACTCGAATCAACAGACAACACCAATAAACATGCAGAGCATGTCAAAGACCTGAAGAAGACAAATACAATGGAAGAGAGAAAGTTCAAAACTTGACTTCTCTTGTCTTACATCTGAAGGTGTCACTTTAACAGAACTTAAATGTGGCTTCTCCCGTTCATGCTCTAATGACTTCACGGTCCTTTGGGGCAGGGGAGAGTGAGAAAAGGGGTTTATCCATCCATCGGTTCAGGATCGAATTAGTTCAGTATCAGAGGCACTAAACAGTCTCATCTCTTTTGGCATCAGTTTCCTTTCAAAACGATCTTTTAGCTGTCCTGTTGCACTTTGTTTTCCCTCCTTTGAGGTCCAAGTTCAAATGCTGGAAACTGGGAAGTCTCCGGTACTGAAATATCTGAGAGGAAGTGAATAGCTCCAGCCATGCCTAAAACATAACAAGAAAGAGATCTTTGTGGGTCTTTGACATGAAAACAGCACAGTTGACAGCAAAGGCAACAGCGCCTGTTTGAACACCTCCTCGCTAGATCTTTTTCTGAACAGGTGAACTTAGCGCCTATAGAAAGGCAAGTTCATCTGTACTTTGCCCAGGAAACCAAATTTCACTTGAAAAGATCGAAGGCAAGAACCAAGATCTCGCTGCTACCATCTTTTCAGCTGCACAACCTCAACGCTACTTCCATTAAGAAAAAGTAAATCCCAGTTTGGACTGTCCCTCAGAATTTGAGCAGCTCTTGCTTGTCATTTCACCGGTTAAAAAACAAAGGCAAAACTTTATTATACGTGTGATGTACAGATTCATTTGTTCACTATTCATAAAGAGGTCATCCAGAGCCTGAAGCACTAATACCAGCATCACCTAATAAAACTCTTAGGGTGACAGACAACAGAGGCACCCTACAGCGGGAGAGCATACAAATACAAGCTCAGTTTTATGATCGAGCTAAAGTCCTATTTTATCAACAGCTAAGCACATACAAAGGAACCTTCCCGGAATACAGCATCTGATGCAAATGAAACGATTAGGACAATCCTGTAAGATATACTTCCACTGAAAGTGCGCATGTACATGAAGAATTGGACAGCTTCAAGCACAATTTTGGCTACACGTTTACAATTTTGCCCCCCCCCCCCATTAAGACTTTTTTGTCTCAAATTTGAGACTTCTAGATATTTCTAAAAAAAAAACCAAAAACCAAAAAAACCCCAAAAACCCCACTGACATTAAAAACCTAAAATAAAAGCTTTGTGTCACCATTAAAGCACACATCATCCTGTTGTTGGCATTACTTCACCTTCTCAACAAATTTCAAAGCTCTTATACAACAGATTGTATGCCTCCTTTTCCCCTTTACAAATGCATGCAAGGGAGCTCTCAGGAATAAGAATACTTAGACTTTTCTCCCTTAAACATTATGACAATAACTCTGTATTTAGAAGGGATGCATATAGCTACTGCTCTCCTGTGTTCACACCTTGCACTGGTTTATTTGTAAAATAATCCTATTCGGTCTGCTGTAATTTCACGTATTTGTGATAGGTGGCACACTAGGCTCATTGTTCATGAAACAGCTTTCAATCCTACTTGGGTCTATGATTCCTTGCTGCTGTGTTTCTAAAACATGATGAGATAGGGAATAGAAAATAAGCTACAAATAAAAAAAAAAAAATACAAAGCTCTAGGAAAATATTTAGGAACATCTTTGAACTTACAGAAAAGCCCCCAAGAACTCCACATTTCTTTCCTGTTCAATGTGATTTGGGTTTATAGTAAAACTAGCTTTTCCTTGCTTTAGTATTGCAGCAGAGAAGGTCTAGTTCTGACAAGCCAGCAACTACTTTGAGACCCCGTACCCACAGCTGTTCCTCTGCCCAGTGCCTCTGCAACAACACCTGCGACAAAACTGTTGCCCGTACTTCTGTTTGCTTTAAGCCGAGAGGCATCAGCACAGCAGAATTTTATTCAAGAATGACAGTGGCACTGGCTTTACATTGGAAACTGCTGAAATGCAACCAAAAGTGGAAGTCGTGATAGTGAATGACTTTCTTTTGTCCCCCCCCCTTTTAGGCAGAGGTGGTGCTAGGGGGTGGCTCTATTTTTAATACGAGACATTTCCCAGCTCCTAAGCATATGCCAAAACTATAAGGTTGCCCTTCTTTCCTGTATACTATAATACCATTTGCAACACCACCACTTTACCTTCAAAGAGAGAATAAGGTCGGTCAGGAATACGACATCCATGTGCACCGTACTCCAAACACCATTCAGCAAACTGGGGAACACATTAAAAAAAAAAACAAAAACCTTTTTTATTAAAGACTGTTAAATGCAAGCTTGAGTATCTGCATATCTTTAATAGGTACTAAATGTAAAGTAGTGTAAGAAGAGACACAACACAGAAATCACTGTCCAAGATCAATTTGTCCCACTTCAACCGTGACAAGGCTGCAATTAGGTTTTAGGGTATGTATTTCCACAACACGAGTTTCAGTTTCATAACAACATGATTAGGTGGGCTGTACTTAACTTCTGTTTTCTGTAAATCAATCCTGCTACATGTCAATGAAAAATGCTGTGAGAACAGATATATTCAGTTTCAAGGGCAAAATTTTTCTAATACTATATCAGTTTCTTATCTGTCTTGGTACTTAATTTATCCATGTGCTCAGGACTTAGGGCTGTTAATTGCATTTTGGTTTTCTTTCACTTCCGTGCACCAATTTACAGTGTTAAATCTCCAGCTGCCATTACTTAATTTTATTTATTTGCTCTCCCCAAGCCTTATGAAAAATTGTTAGAAATACAGTTAGACAATTATGGTCCCCAATATTTTGTTGCAGAAGATGTAACACCATTAAAAAGAGTTAACAGTGTCTTTTTTGTGTTTGATCAACATTGCTGCACTAGCTACATTAGAGATACATAACTTATGAACTGCATCTAAATCCATTTAATAGCAACCATCTATTTCTCCTTTATGGCTCCCCAGAGCATATGGGGGGCCACAAGTTCCCCTGGCATTTCTGCTCTTGGAAGCAAACCACTGCTTATTCAAAATACAGTGCAAAGATTCCTGCAGAGCAAAGAACTGAGAGGTCTCTCTCCGCTCCCCCTGCCATTTGGGCAACCTAGTCATCCTACTAACTAGAGGGTGCCCCACCTCTCGAGCTGGAGCTGTATGGGGTGTGAGCATGCCCCCGGAGCCATCAATCCGTTCAACAGGAGGATAACAGGTGGCATCTCCTCCCTTCTTCCCCCCACTCTGTTCTGTTTAAATGTTTATTGGCGGATGGATTTTTCTTCTCTTGGTAGGGGTGTGTGCATGTGTGTGCATGTCTTGAGGAAACCCAGAAAAACCCCCACAAACACAAACATTGTGGTCCACACTGTTCTTAAGAACTGATGAAACATTTTTGGGCCCCCCACGGGTATAAATCTTCAAACCAAGGTTTAATTCTCCATGTAATCTTGCCTTATATGTGAGGAGAGAACATGTTTATGGCATGTTTCTACACTACAATCAATTCTTGCAACATCCACATCTGATTACTAGCCTTTGTTATTACTGCCAGCCTGGGAACTGCAACAGAAATTAAAAAAAATGCGCCCCGGGCTACTGAAGCACAACCATCATTTACAAGTTCATAGCTTCAGCACAACTCACAAATCCAGCAAGCCACACCAATATCTTTGTTAAACCAAGGCAGGGGCGGGGGGGGATCTAGCAGGAAGACATCTGTCATTATTTGTCACATATTTCGAGCTCTTCTGGTTCATTTGTGAAACGGTTTCATGGCTCCCGAGAGGTAAGCAGGGATTCCTGGCCAGACTCCTTCCCCTGGGCCTCAGGTTTTCGGTGTGAGCAAGCACCCCTGGGAGGGGAGCCATCTAGTGCTCCCAGCTACATGCCTTTAGGTACGAACATAACTGCACGCTTGCTTCCCTGCATGCTCTGGCTCAGAAAGAAAAGATTTCAAGAATGCCAGACAAGCAAATTCCTCTGCCTGTTTCAAGATTTCCCCTGCAAGAGCCCGAAGGGCCTGACTGAGCGCTGGAGATGCTAAAATGCAGAATGGATGCAAATACGCTGCCAGACCTGACTATGCTGGGCACCTCCGGCAAACGGTCTTTGGCCACTGTGCCACATCTTCCTTCTCAAAGGGACTTCAGGTACCTAACTGAGTCTCTCCCCTATTTGGCTTCGAAAGAGATACGCTTGCTTTTCTCTAGCCTGGTATGGAAGAACGTCAGGGCTCTCCTGGGCCAGAAATGCAGCACCACCAGGAGCTGCCAACGCTGCACAGAGCCACAGAAGATGTACTAGCGCGGAGGATGATGGGGAGAGCCCCATAGCTGTGCCGACAGCAACGCCTGCTTGGTGCTGTGGCTCACACGTCAGCAGTGGCTGAGTCCATGCGTAACTAGGTCACACATCTGCCATGGGAGCATGAGGGGTTTATTACGTTCCCTAGGATGCAGGTATGTTTACAGGTGTCCTCATGGCACGATGCTTTGGTAAACGTGCGAGAAGCAGCAACTTCTTAAAGCTCTGCTGGCAGAGGACAGGCTGACAGTGGAGATGAATACAATAGCTTTACATAGGGCTGGTGCTCATCTAAAAGCACCTAAGGAGCAACTCATCAAATTTCCCATTGCAACACCTCTAAAAAGGCCTCAGCTAAATAGTTATGTACACAATATGAAACCTAATAGCAGTGAATTAAGCTGGAAAAAAAAAAATCCAACAAAACAAACCAAAACCAAACAGAAGTCTTATGAGATGAGGAAACAGAGGCAGAAAAAGCTTTCTCCTTTCGTAACTGCTAACATAATCAGAGCTGATAGCAGAACTTGGACAATTTCAGTGGAAAAATTCTGAGTGTGTCTTTCTCTGCAATTTGTATTAATGAAAAAAATCTGAGTGAGCAATTTAATAACTGCAGTTCAGAGCTCTAAAAGCCCTAAACAGACATCAGTCTGAAAACAAATAATTACAAAAGACTGCAAACAGTATCGCTTGAGGAGCTGAGGACGACAGTGGATGTCTCAATGGAATAATTAGCACCACATAACATTAGTCTGTTATTGTTCAGGCAGGCTGATTTTCAGACTCTTATTTTCTTCTGAATATGCACTTAGTTCCTCCCCCCTTACAGAACATTTGTGCGTTTCACTCTGCGTTAAGATGGTGCGTGCCCCATGTACACAGCTGAAGTCATCCCGTCAAAGTGCGAGTAAAGGGGAGCAAGCGACGGGACCCTGCTGTCCCACCCCGCCGCACAGCCAGCCAGCTCCAGCTCTAGCACACAACAGCCTACTCTGACCACAGTTTACTCTTGCACGGGCGTTATGACGTGAAAGGGAACAGTAATTTTGTTGGGATACTGCAGAGCTCACCTTGCAAGCTCGGTAGAGGTACTTTTTGTCCTGAGTTAGGTTATAGAGAGACAAGAAGGAGTAGCCATTGCCAGCAGTACCATGGCAGATCCCATATCCTTTTCTCAATAAACCTCTCTGCCAGATGACATCGCTACAATCCATAGCATCTTTCAAGTATTTATCCTCTTTAAAAGTCTGTGGAATAAAAACAGAGAATAAGCACACATAAATTGAAGTACTAATGAAAATAAAAGGAAGCTGGACCCGAGAGATGTTTCGCTGCTGGTGTGGGGTTTTTCCATATATGATTTATTTTCAATTTTAATAATCATCATAGACTTGCCTTTCTTTTCTTACTAAGTTGTTTCTCCTTTCCCTGCATGGAACAAGAAAGAACTTCTCATGTTTTTGTTTCTGAAATCAGGACCCCAAAGGAAAAAACTCAAGTTCAAGGCCCTTGGTTCTACAACCTATAATCTATCTGAAGGGTACATAGTCGTTTTTTGCTTCTCCCCTCCATTCCCAAACGACAACATCATTTGATTTGAAATACAAAAATGTGATTCTTGCCTCCAAGAAATATAACACAGAATACTGGCCATCAAATCTAAAGGGCTAGCAGCCTGGTCTAAAGGGTCCTAAAGGGCTAGGTCCTGGTCTTCCTGAGTAATTCTTCCCAGTTACTCACCCTCTGCCTTCTGTCCAAAATGCACAAGAATACCCCTTTGCATAGCACAGGGCTCTCTTCTCTGTCACAAGTACAAGTAGGAACACTCCATTACCTTGATTAGTATTTGTATTGGAAATACTCAGAAGCACTAGCCAGTCTCGGCAAAGGACCAATTTTGCAAAGTTTATTGCAAATGAAGTGCACTTTGGACACAGAGAGCCCATCAAGAAAGCAGAAAACAAAAGCACGTAATCTAGCTGAACACCACCAGACTTCCACCTTTATAAAGCTACTTTTTTTGCTCCCTTTTGCCTAAGTCACTCTGCAGATCAACAAGACAAAGAAACTTGTAACTGATGCATGACTGTAGACTTAGTCCTTTAGAGACGGCATCCCCTGCCAGGCTATTTAATAAGGTAATAGAAGCAATTAACATGCAAGATTCTTAAACCCACAAGCTTGATAAAGGAAGTCCCTCTCTGTGAACAGGGTTTGTCAGCTACTTAGCTGTAACATTTCAAATTAAGGCCTGGCAACAGCATTTGATTTCCAGGACAAACACTGCTGTCTGTTATCGCAAGTCCCTGTGCTTGGTATGAAAGCACCGCCAGCAAAACATACTCCAATTTTTCTTATCGCTTCTTCAAAAAGCAGAATATAAAGAGTAAAAGAAAAGCATCATATGCCCCACCACCTTAAACATAAAAAGAGGCCAGAAAGGAGACTGCTAAACAGAACTTGGTTCTATCCCTCTTATCTCCTGCAAAATATTTTGTGCTGGGGAAAGCATCGCATTGACAAAGAAGAGGAGGGGGAAAAAAAAAAAAAAAAGTCTGCAGTGTTAAGTCAACCTTCTACCACAGTCCAACGAAAAAGCAACTGTGACTGCTGCTACATTCAGCAACGCTGTAAGAGATTTACAGTTCACATTTCAGGTAGCAGCATGAGTAATTATTCCATAAACCAAGCCTGCTTTTCATCAGCCCACCCAGAGGCCGACCAGGGAATCTGCCAAGGAGGGCTGTCAAAAGCAAGAATCAATTTGCATAAATTTAATTAAATGGCATACTTTCAAATGTCATGCAAATCAGAAGTGCGCAACACACGAGAGACAGCAAACCTAGTTCAGGATGGAGAAGAGCAAACAGTAGGCTTGTGGTAGCTCAGCGGCTGTATTTATGCCCTAGAAGGGGCCTGGAATCTTTGCTCTGACGTTAAGTTCTCAAGAGCTATATCTTGATAATGGAGTAATTTATGGAAGACATTCTTTGGCAAGACACATGAACCTACGCTTTTGAAAACCAACGTAATTCTTAAAACTCTTGGGATGAAGATTCAAAGAATTTAGGTCAATGTTCTCACACCCTCGACTCCGACATCAAATTGTTTAAATACATGTCCCTTTTCCAAGAAAGCCTGAAGTCTAGTAACTGCTAGCACCCTGAGAAGCAATTTTACCCGCTTATTTCCTCTTTACAAACGTATCTATACAAGTATTTTGAGATTTTTAGGTGCCTAGCCTAGGGTTCTGGTTTGAAAGTCTAGATCTAGAAAGATGTAAAATGCAAGCCTTACAATCTAACAGGCCTGCATGCAGTTCTCTCTGTAAAAATAGAAGTCTATATGAACACAGAATGATTCACCTTATAAGCTTGCATAAGCATGTGGATGACTCCAGGGGCACCATGGCACCAGTGAACCAGTCTGTCAGTCTCATTGCTCAGCGATGATGGGTAATTCCCAGATCTGAATTTTTTATGACGCACGTAGTCAACGCTTGGCTTCACCAGCTCTGTCAGGGTCTCCTGGTCCACATTTGCAATTGGCTAAAGAAAGCATTAAAAAAAAACCAAAAAAACACCAAAACCATAAACAAAAGTATTAACAAATTGTGTATCAACACTTAATTCTAGGATCTATTTTCAAGTATCCTACATATGTGCCCTTGATCCAAATACTTTGAATCACTTCATACAGATTTAATTAATGTCTGCTTACAACACCCTTGGGAAGAGCATTTTTACAGCTACTGTAGAGACAAAGAAATTGGGGCACCAAGTTGTTACCTGTCTTACTGGAGGTGACACAGAACGACTAAGGAAGAACTGAGAACAGAATATGGCTTTCAAGGCTCCCGGGTCTCTCTTTATACCTTAAAATAGAGAGAACACTTACAGGAGAAAGATGGTTTTATAGAGACGTTGCTCATAATACACACTTAAAACACAACGGGTTACACATTTTGTTTTAAAAATAACTAACATAGACAAACCTGCCCTATTTCCCAATGAGAAGAAGAGTGTATGTAGTGGCATACCTGGCAAAGGTTTATGAAGATTCAAGTTTTCAATCATAAACAAAACTCCCTGAAGCTATGGGCTATAAATCTGCATTTCCAATTTCAGAAGCAAAAGCTACTTCTCCAGGTAGCTAAACAACTTTGTACTACAAACTCATCCTTAGATTGCTCTTATGAATTTTCTTTCGCATTTCTTCTATTTAGTTTACATCCTTGCCAAAAGGAGAATATATCCATCAACCCGCATGCTTCTTGTAAGTAAAGGTTTAGAAGCCGAATATCTGTAGGGTCTGCAGTTGTTCTTAGTTGGCATTCCCTCCTCTACCAGCCCATTTTACAGTATTTTCATAACAGAGCTCCCTATTTTTACGCAGCCTACATGATTTCTAGAATTCCTGCAAGCTGTGGGAATAACTGCAGAAACTGGAGCCTAAAGGAGCCTAATAACTGAGCTTATATTTTTAAATAACTTGTCTTTGTTGCTGACTCGATGTCATACAATGTCACTGTTTCCCACCAGCTCCAGCGCATTTGCATTCCATAGGTGAGCACACTGTTACCATTGGCAGTCTTACAGCCAAATGAAGGAAGACTTTCAATAGCTGTATTTTCAGTAACCTGAAAAAAACAAAAGCCTGTTTCACCTCAGCTAGGAAAGCTTTGCCAGACTTCTACCTACCAGGTCCCTCAAGCAAACTCCACCTCTGCATTTTTCTGAGTGGAACAGAAACCTTCACACTGCTCATCAGAAGCACACCTGAATATGGATCAGCTTATCATGAAGAACACCCTGGAGCTGATCAGCCCTCACTCAGATGCTGACCTGTGGGGTCAGGAGGCTCTGAGGGAAGCTTTGTTTTGGGGCTCTGATCTCACACTGCAACCCTGCAGCGGAAGGCAAAGCAGATGGGCACCAGCAATAAATGCCTTCAGGCTTAAGCTGTGCAAGGCAAGCCCAGCCCAGCATGTCTGTCCTTGGCAGGTAAATCCAAGAAGAGCAGAGCTCTTTACAAACCTCCTTCTCACCTTGTGCTTCCGAGATCTGAGTACAAGCGAGTTCTTCACCCAAGCTGCTGAGGTTCCCAGTACCCACTTCCAACAGCAAAAAAGTAACCTACGGGTATGTGTCCTGACTCTCTGGCCAAGAGCAATGACATGCAAACAGACATTTCTGCCTCGGGGTTAGTGAAAGGGGATAGAATTAGAGATTCCCTAGCAAGCACTTCAGAATTCCCCCTCTGCCTCCCGGATGAGTTATTTAACACTGCTGAGCTGTTACTCTTCCAGTAGTCTTCTGTAAGTAAATCCAGCAATACGTGTTTCCTCATAAAGGTGTTGTACAGAAATGATGATCAGTGACCCGCACATCTCAGGTGCTATGTTGGACGCCCTTTTTTTGTTATCAAACAACCACTCAACAAACCATCTCCTGAATTCTTTGCTGAAAATACAGAAATATTCTCCTCTTTTGGTGTGGGAGGGATGGGGAAAGGATGGACTCCAATATGCCATCTTCTTCTGCAGTGGATGACTCAACTCTGCATGACTCACAATATTTAATGTACAGTGAAAAGACAGTAATCTAATGCTGCATAAACAACGGCTTTGTGGTAATTCTTAAAAGCAGCAATTATACATAAAGGAAAAGATAGTTACGATTTTAACATGTAGACAGAGTAGCTTCTACTTAAACCGAAAAGCACTGTGCAATTATTTCTGCTATCAGCCTTGAATAGTAAATGAAGGATGGAGCCTTTAAAGAGGCTTCTTTAAAGGACCAGGTGTTTCTCAGAAAATCTAACAGAGCCAAGGGAGGAAAAATGGAAGCCAGGAAGATGAGGGAGCCGGAAGGGGGTGGACCACCTTGTTGCAGAAAGCAGGAAGTGAAGATAAGGGCACAGTAAATCAGAGCAGCCTGAGGCCCCAGTGAGATGGTCGCTGCAGAAAATAGCTGTAGTGGTGTTAAGACATGCCCCCAGGTAGCAGAGCAGTAGCCACTTCCACAGCAAAGTCAGCTGCTTTAGCCTCAGCTACTGGTGGAAGTGGTGTGAGCTAATCTGAAACAGATGGGGAGAAGTCGCAGCATCTTTTGCAAATGAGGAATGGCTGAGCAGTGGCAACACCAAATACCAGCTCAGTCACTTCTGCAGTGAATATTCGTACGCAGCTTCAGGCTGCTTCCACTTGCCTGAAGGAAGTCATTCTGCATGAGCTGGTAAGAAAATTAACATTTACAAAGATGCACAGACTGGCAGCACCTTTAAAAACCAGAAACAGGTACAATACAAATTTTGCAACTCTATGGCCATCTTCTATAATGAATCTTAAGGCTCTTTCTCCAGATTGTACAACAGAAATAAGATATACAGGTCTGTTTTGAAAAACATCATAATCCTATTGGAGAATCTCAGGGCAGGGGGGAATGGATTTAAGTGCAGGAAAGAGGAGATATAGAGAAGAGAGGAATCACACCCAGGACAACAGAAAGAGGCAAGCAGGGGTCATAAATGCACTAAGGAACATCAGATTTTTGGGGGAAAGATAGGGGGGATAAGGAGGAGGAAGAACATCTAAAGAATAAAAGCATACTGAAGACTAACGTGTGATTAAGGATAGTCTTCCAAAAGCTTCAAGACAGTGGGGAAAAAAATAAAAAGTCAGTGGAGAAGAGAGGAAGGGCATGGAGGGCAGGAGGCACCACTCATTTAAAAATAGCAAAAAATTGAAGATTAAGAGTGATGGATGGTGAATAAGTGAATATTTAGCTGGTCTAACTGCATGCACCAGAAGAAATAAGTATGAGGATGAGGGAAGGCACCTCACTGTCTCTGTTGAGGACAGGAAACTTTAGCTCCTGGAACGCTGGTGCTCTGAACGCTGGTGCTCGAGGGTTAATTCACTCTAATGCGAGGATACCCAAGCCACAGTTTTCTTCTGCTACCAGGGCCTGAGCTAGCATCTCTGCACAGTTCTGTGCTGCAGAGCCTAACTCCAAATTGTAAGACCCTGACCCAGCACAACATTGCACATGCATGAAAGCTGAAGATAAGACCCTCCAATGCAAAACAAGAAATCACTGGTGTTTCACCCCAGCCCACAGAAGATGCTCTTACCTGCATGAGCATGTAATAGATCCCAGCCACTCCATGGGCCGCTCCAACGTATTGCTTCCTGTGCCACTGGTACAACAGAGGACAACGGTCTGTTTTCCGCTCCTCCTTCGAAAAGTTTTTCCCCGATTCAATAATAGCATCTATTACCTAAGAAAGAGAACACACCCCTTCTGTCTGTCTCGCTTGCTTTGATTCAGAGGGTTTTGCTTTGTCATGACTAAAACCACAGTAAAGAATAAGCCATAATAAACAGCGATGGGACAACAATATTCAATTCATTTGGACTTGAGTGTTGAGGTAGAAATGGAATTTTTCCTAAATGACGGAATCACTTATATTTCTAAGAATAGAAATTTAATATATAAATATTTCTTTTTTCCAGGCCTGCCTTCTCTGCTTCTGGTATCTACAGAACAGTTGTGCATCTTCCCCACACTGAACTATCCTTCTTTTCACTTAAACACTTCCACACTTCTTTCTTAAGGTTTTTCATAACAATTTCTCATCCTCAAATGCTCCAAAGCTAGTTACACATTAAATCCATTTCCATAGCTGGCAATGGACCCACCTGTAGTGGCCTGTCTCAGTCACAGCTGGGCAGCAGGGAAAGGGGGAAGAGATTGGAGGGAGGTATGAGACAGAGTTCCTGGTTCTAGGTCCCTCTCCTCTCCAGCCTCCCTCTCTTAATCCCTTGAATTATGTGAAGGAGTGATTCCAGTTCAACCTCACTGATGCTGTGGCACTGGAGAGAGAAAAGTATCTTACCTCTTTGATAACAGACTGTGGGACAGTGTCCGGACCGATTTCAGTATTCAGGTACAGCAAGGCATATAGGTAACCTGCTCTGCCATAAAGCAGCTCATCTGGGAGTTCAGCATCTGTGCTTATGACCATCCTTTGGAGCTGCAACAACCTGCATCAGACAAGGAAGGTGGGGAGAGAGAGCATCTTCTCTAGAGACCATACTGGACTACGTATTGCACGAGCCGTTAATCAAACCAGAAGCAGAACGAGCGCCGAAGCCCCACCACTTCCCTTCAGTCATCCCCCGTTCAGCTGCCTGCCAGGTTTACACACAGGAGCTCTGCATGCTTGCCATCCCTGACAGACAGGCGACTCGGAGCCAGAGCCAGCTGAGTATTAGCGCAACTATCAGGTTTTTGCGCAAACAGAAACACCCATATGGGTGCAGAGTGCGGGCTGGATGAGGCCGGAGAACTACTCCAACAAATAGGGAGCACCACATGGAGCCTCTGGGAATTTCAGCTAAGCAAGGACCCTTAATTGTAGATGTATAAGAGGGAAATAACAAAAACAAACAAAACTCCCCAATACCACCATTCAGCACTCCCTCTCCCTAGACAATGCATTGTCTCAAACGTTTAGCAGCTCAATTTTGAAAAGGGCAGGACTATTATGCACAAGTGTTTTGCTTGCCTTTAGTGACGGAAAAAAACCTTGGGCTGGCCACCGCAACTCTCATTTGCTCCGAAGAGACTCCAGCAGTCTGCATTAGAATTCAGGTGGAACAGAGATCTGTTTTCCTGCCCACTCCCCCCCTGTCTCTCCCTATCTTTTGTGATTAAATTGGCAATTAGATGAAACGATGGTGATGATTGCATTTTAAATTGGGGGAGGGGGCAAGACAATCTGGATTAACACCAAATTAAATTCCCAGATTCCCCCCAACAGCTATTACTTGGCAGAAATGTTAGCACTAACATCATGCTGGAGCAAAAACGCTGACCCCAATGGCTTGTTTATGCTGTCACTGCTTAATACCAGGGAAAAGCCACTCACACAAAAAGAGTTTTATATTATCTTTCCTTTCTTGGAACTACTCTTTGGACTTGGAATTACATTATTTTCTGTTAAACTGTCCACTGTTAAGTTTTATTGTTCAAATCATACAACTGGACAGCTACAACGTAGAAAGTTAAAAGTGCAATCATAGATTACATTTTGACATCTACAATCTACCACTCAGCTGGTGTCATGAATATATTATTTGTAAACAAAAAAGGAAGAAAAGGAACAACTAATCAAACTGTCCTCCTCCTAGAAATGACTTTCCAAGCAAAGGCGAGACTAAAAGATTTATTGCTAATCCAATTTTGCTATACTCATTCTTCACGCCTTACAGCAACACTGCTTCCCTAGCTGCATCCAAAATGGCATGCCCAAGTTCACTGCCAGTTCTAAAAGCAAAAAAACCCAAACCTACCACCCATTTCAAAACTGAAATATGCATCCAGGAACGGCAGCAGAGATAAATCACACTAGGATTCTAGATCAGAAAGAGACCAATTGTATTTCCAAATATAAACCCGAATGGAGATGAGGACACAAGGCTAGTCCACAAATTCTGGCGGCGTAAGGAATGCTGCTGGACTGCTAGCAGGTGGATGGCTGGTGCCGAATGCAAACCGCACAGGGCTCCAGTACTTCCAGCCCTTGCTGGGACAGCAGTCAGTTCTGTACCAGCGAAGGGACAGTTAGTTCTCCAAGGAAGCTCTACAACTAAATGGGATTTCTCAAGACGTTTGTTACGTCTAGATTACTTGGAAAAGGGGCTAGAATTTTTTCAGGCTACCCTTCATATGCTCTGACCTAATTAAAGCCCTTGCTGGTTCAGCAAATACCTCCTCTTTGCTTTATTAAATCTTTGTTACATATCAATCCAATGTACCATGTTTCTGTCTGGATCTTTCCAGATCCCTGCAGTGTACATGTGTTGTAATGAATCCTCAATTAAGACCCACGCATCACATACTGCACAAGCACTACATATTGCCGATGACAAGCGTGCGGCTTTTGTTAAATGTCACTTCAATGTGACAAAATCAAAACGTGCATGTACTACAGATATGTCCAGGACATCCTGTCCTTACAGCAATAGAGGACTCGAGATAACCCACTAAATGTGAATCAAGTGTAAGACAGCTTTAATAAAGATAAAGCCTAATTTGTATTCTTCTCCTGAAAATGTATCAGGGGAGAAAGTGTCTCCATTTTTTAATCCTGCCCTCCAAAACTCCACTTGCTGATGTTACTGAACCAACGCTCTCTACAAATGAAGGGCATGGCTTTTTCCACCATCAACCACTTACTTGGCAATACATTCTTTAGATTCACTGTCATTTTTCAGCTTGTGATAAACCACTGCACCCACTGCCAGTGGCCCTGCATCACCACAGAGGAAAGTAACTCTTCTGCCATTCAGATTGCGAAGGATTCTCTTCACATAATCAAGAGATCGCTGCAAATGGCTCTGGTTTTTCGTGACACGGTACAGTTGCAGATATAGGAGGGCAATACCTGGAACAACAACATGAAAAAGAGATAATTTCATTTACTTTTCCTTCTAAGTATATCATATTCCGCTCTTCAGTGCCTCTGAACCAGTAACTCAAATGCAAACAGGTATTTGGGCAATTAAAACATGTCAGTCAAGTGTCCTAGCTTATGCAATGGGAAGGCATGAGGCCATCTATGTCGATTACATTTCAGTTTGGATCGTGACAAAAATAAAAAAAAAAAAAAAAAAATCAGACTGAAGCCCAACGGTAGACTCATAATTTGCAGAGAATGAAGAAAATTCATGACACAGGCACCAAAGCTTGGTGAAGAAATCACTGAAGACTCAAAAACATGGGCTAACAAGCATGTGTATGACCAAGTACATTGACTGTACAATACTCATCTATTATATGCAAGAAGTGACTTATTTTCCATTTGATTTGTAAAAGGATCTTTTGATGGGTTTTTGGATTCAACTTGCCAAGTTCTTTATAACCCTTAAATGTACTTCACAACAAGATTATGAGCTTCTACAAGTTAAGCTGGTTTGTAAAAGCCAGAAAGCAAACAAGTCCTCAAAGAATGCTGGAAGGTAGTATCAAGCTTCACTCGATTAAACTCATTACATGGTTTTCCATTAAAACAAAACCAAACCAAACCTTACCTTAAAAATTGCAACAGTGTAGACTGAGGAAAGTGAAACAAATCCATCTAAGAGGATGTTTATTGGCCAGCTGGAAGTGTGCAGAAGCAAAACGTTTACCTTCAGACCATACTGCATCTCAAACTCATTTCCAAACAGGGAGAGCACTCTCCCGAGCCACAACTAAAGCCGAGTACACACAAGGCCAACTTAGCTCCACAGAGAGGCTACCTGAGGAGTACAAGAACAGCAGCACCACAAGAGTGCTGGTACATCCTCAGATGTTCTCCAGACTGGCGCTGAACAGGCCTTTCTAGGTAAGCCCAAGAGGAGACCTGCAGAGATTGGTTAGCCCACTTCAGTGGCACAGGAGCTTGTGGGCTACTTACTGGGATTTCTGGAACCCTTTTTTATGTTGCAATAAATGTGTAGACATCTGGGCTTGATCAAGGGATGATCAGAAAGTAGCCATGAGGCCCAGTTCATCCAATCCTTCCTCATGCCACACCTTTTAAGTGGCTCCTCCAAGATGTCTGGCACATACAAAGAGTACTTGTATAAGCAAGATGGACTCATGAGTCCTATGACTGTTATGTGCCAACAGTACGTGCTCCAAGATATTTAGAGACGTTTCACTAAGCTCAAGCCAATGCTCGGAACTGTGCGCTGCCAATAAGATTTGTCTAGACTTGGTACATAACAAGCAGGGCAGTTGTTTTCAGCATTGCTTTTATCTTCTGATTTGCACACTAGCAAAATGCTGCAAGGAGCAAGTTTGGGAAGAAAGTACTTTCACTAAGTTTTTTAAAAGCCAGACCATTTAAGTATTTTTATTCAGGAGTCAATTCCACAGAAGCCTTGAAAGAAGTTTACAACTTGGAATAGATGTAACAGCCATCTAGGAAAGCAGGATGGAAAAACACGATTCTCATTAGACTGCGTTATTTGTTCATCTGTCTTCTTGTTTCAGCTAATGATGGCTGTGTTACTTTTAGCTTATGACTCACTTTCAGCATGCTCTGGTTTATCAGCCATAACTTCAGCTGTCAGTCACAGTGTCAGAACATGGCTTCCCGGGAGCCGCTTCAGAATGTCAGCACAAGAATGCCCACCGCTTGAGATCTTCTGCACTCACTTAGCAGACACTCACTTTCAGACCTTGAAACACATCTACCATTTAAGTCTGAGCTGTCTAAAACTTCCCCACCCATCCACCCACAGCACCATCTGTACCAAAACACTAAAAAGAAAGTAAAGAAATTTTACCCTTTCACTGCCAGAATTAAGCCTGAGCACAGGCAAAGCCTGGAGAGTTTTTCCAAGCTGCTCCTCCTTACAACACAAACATAACAGAACAGATCTCCTCAGGGCACGTTTCAAACATGCTATGCTAAAAGCATAAGCGTGTCTGAAGCGTGAGCTAGACAGACCAGGAATAGATTATGCCATTGTAATAGCAAAGTGGCACTTGAGGGGCCAAGACAGAAAAGCATTTTGGCAGCTTGAAGAGCAGTGGCCGCATCAGGCTTGACAACCCCAGGCTCTGCCTAAAGGATCAGAAGGGCTCATTCACGTTTGGACAGCATCAGTGACGCAATGCTACATGAATGACAGTGCCTAGCGCTTGCACACGCCTGTTTATCTTCATGCGCTTCACAATCTTGCAACTCCACCTCCATACTCCCCCTCCTCACACGTTCATTTTACCATTTTTGTAGAGACAGAGCAAGCAGAGACAAATTATCCATATTCCAGATTTTAAGGCTCCAAGCTCCTGGGCACAGAACATCCCCTCTCAATGATTAGAAGATGCTGTTACCATCAGACAACTGCTATCAGTCAGTTGAACAGAAAAAGGTGAAAATAACCCATTTAAAAAAATATTAAAGAAACTAGAGGTAAGCCAAAAGAAGAAATAGCCTTAGAAAATCCACTCCTTTTGCAGGATAAATATCTCCACACACAAAAGCCAATTACCTCTCTGTAACTAGATCCTTTGTCCACTGAAATCAACACAAGTCATTCCAGACAGTAGTGACCAAGGGTCCAGAGTTAAAAGAAACCAACTCACACAAATGCCTGTATCACAGTATTTCTGCTGCTCCTGTGAGAATATCAGAACCTCCTCCTGTGAATACACCCGATTATGCCATTTAACAAACACACTTGATTCAAATTCTAGCTTTCTCACCAGTCCAGCCAGTATAGGCAGAGCAGTCATGTGGATCTGCTGTCTTCAGCCCTTCTTCCATTTGTTGCAGAAGGTCCTTGATTTTTGTCTGGATCCGTTTTGAGAACAAAGCACTGACCTGAAAACAGGAGACAGGAGAAAAGGAGCGAGTCAGAAAAGGAAATAATTGAAGAATGCAAGCTGGCTGCTCCACCTTCTTGTTTGGAAAAAAACAAACAAAAAACAACTACGGACTAAATACTACATGCAGCAATCAGCAGTGTCAAGGTGGTTCATCTTAAGTGTGTCCCATGTAATGCATTCTGATTACATATTAGAATAAGTCACTAGTATCTACATTAAACAAAAATTATCTGGGGATGCTTTAAAGTCACACAAAGAGCAGCTATGGACACTGCTACAGTATGTAATTATATGCTGTATCTTATCTCAGGCTCTTAATACAGTAAGCAAAGCTTCTCTGAGTTGAGTAAAAGGTGAAGAGAAGCAAACAGAAGACAACCACCTGCTGCCACTCCATGGGCCAATACTCCATTCAGGGTACTGGTACCAAGACGACATTATGGATGAACACAGCACAGTGAACCTACAAGCCCTGTGTAACAGGCAGTTGCTCTCATCGCAAGGTCCCTGCACATCTTCTGTGGCACTACAGAGCAGGAAATAGCTAAAGGAAAATAAATGCTCATATTTGAGACAACCAAGTCAAAGTCAAGCCATCATCTTCAATGATGTGATCAATCACATCATCCATGACGTATTCACGTTTTCTTCCTAAATCCAAGATGCTTTTTGATGTCCCAGTTTGTGATCACCGCACAGAAGGCAAGTCACCTAGAGCCATAAAATGCTCTTCCTCTTGCTTCTTGCTCTTTCCTCTCCCCAAAGCAATATTACGGTTTGACGTGCTTTATCATGAGAGGAGGTTGTTAAATGCAGTGAACTATTGAGGAACAACTACCTAAAAGAATGAGCTAGACACAAAGAAGATGAGTAAAAGCAGCTTGGCAGCTTCAGATCATGCATGAAGTTGAAGAAACTAACCTTTGATTTTACTTGCTGCTTGCCTTCGCTTTTGACCAAGAAAAGTTTACGTAGATGCTATATATGAAATATAACACAGGATACTTCACTCTTGCTACCATTTCCCTCTCATTAAGCATACTGTAGGGGAAGATACATTACTGATTACTCCCTTAAGCCCATGGAAATAGTCAATTCACTAGAATTTACTGCTCTACTAACTTCCATGAGAAAGAGTATTCAGGAAATCACTTCACAGGACAAGTCCACATTTGAGTGGGAACATCAGAAACAACATTCAAAAATGTTGTGGTGGTTGTTTTTTTTTTATTATTATTATATAACAGTATCACTTATTGATCAGCTTTTCCTATTAACACATTTATTAAAAGCTATTTTATATATTTAAGTAGAGCCTAAAGTCTAGGTTTACTTATAGAACAATTTATCTACTACAGAGCTAGAGAAGGAGAAACAAAAAAACCTCTTCCCTTTCTGAGCTATAGGAAAAGCTTTACCATTACCAGATAATTCCATCACTCTAACAAAATAGTGATGTACACAAACTTTGTGCCACCCAAAAATATTTTGTGAGTATGCTTTTTCCATCATCTACAGAAAGCCCCAAGCATACTTCACTTGTCACTCAAGTCTCACTTATCCAGGAACATCTAGAAAAGAAACTCTCTAAGAACACAGAAGCCAGCAGAGCTTCCCCACCTCCCAAACCAAGAGTCACAACATAGTGGTCACCAGAAAAAGAGCATTCCACAATTTGACTACCTTTCAGCTTACACTGAGAATAAGCTACTGTTTCCCAAATAGTGCTTGATCTCTTTCCACCACTTGCTTCCCCAACCTGCTCCCAAATAATAGCCAGAACAATTCATATTGGTGAAGGTTTAGTTTCATGTTAAACACATCTACATTTATGATGTTTTACTGGAGAAGGAGAAATTAGCTCATTAGGAAGGATTACAACAAATCCCCAAAGGGAGGGCTTCAGATAAATGATGGGTCCTGGATGCCAGCATGCAACTGATTACCCAAAATACACCAGACTTTGTACTCTTGTTCAAAGCGGAACTTCAAATAAAAATCAGTGAATTCAAACATCCATTCAGTGGATTCAGAAATCAGAAACATAACAGGAATCACACAAGTCCTCTGACACACTCAGAAGTCTCCAGGGTCAATGGTTCAAATCCATTTTATGATGGTGGGATAGGGAAGAAAAAGGAAATTGTGCCATTATATCTCATGTCACACTCATACCACTCTAGGAAGGAGCTACAGCTCCTTTAACCTTCTCCAGTAACTCTAGAAGTAGCAACCAAACACAGTAAGCATCTGACATCTACTCTTTGGCCTTAATATGGCATTAAGCACCTTTTTGGTAGTAAAGTGTACCATGCACGCACAACACAGCACACCCCCTTTTAACTAGTTCAGCGAAGTCTGAACGCAAAGCAAAACCTTTCCCAAGGGCAGAGCTTCTCTCCTTCAAAAGACAGCTATGCCAAGGCTAAGGCATATGGTGAAACAGCGTGAGGATATCCACGTGGATGCATCCAGGCGTACCGCTCAGTTTATCTGACAAGAGTAAACTAAGGTTTCAGACTCCCAGTTTGTTTACCTACTGCACATCACAAGCACGCTGGTTATCTTTTTGTTCTGACAATATACCTGCTGTTACCAAATCAGGATATTTTTTGTCAAACACCAGATCAAATTACTTAAAGGCAGGAGGGGAGGAATAGGACATCAGGACACCTGGGTTCTGCTTTGAAACCTCAGTCCCATACAAGTAATTTAGCTCAGGTTGGCACCTCCCTCTCTCTAGAACGCCAACTGTAACTTACCTCTCTTGATTCAGTGCTTGGAAAAGCACAGATGAAAGCATTTTTTGATTATGATTATAATCATTTATCAGCCCAAACAAAGCTAATCCCAAGCTTATGCCAATGTGAATAGGTTATGAGTGGAAACAAAGTTTTTTCCAGCTACCTACCTACTCCTCCACCACTGCCTCTTTTTTTTTTTTTTTTGGCTTGCTCTGAAGCTTTAACAGAGCACCGACACTGTTCATTTGATAAGATTTCACTATAAGCTTATAACAGATGCTTACATGCACTAGAATAAATTAATTACATAAAGGAATGAATGTTGAAAGGTGGCTTTAGAAGACTGATAAACCTCCTTCAAGGAATCTTATGGCAGCATTACAGCTGAGCATTGAGCACACGGATTCATGTTGAGCACAAACTGATTTTCATGAGAAGCATATTCATTTCATGAGGATGATTCCAGCTGGCATTCAGCCTTTTCTGCAGCAGCGGGCATGCAGCCGTTGCTGCAGGGGACGCCGGTGATTCCGGGAGGGAAAAACAAAAACCAAGAAGCCTGACCTCTGATACCCAGTATCACATTTACTCCTGCTTCACAAAAGACTGGGTAGTAACAGGAGCTGAAGAGTATCTTTAACAAGTAGAAACGTCTCTCTCCAGGAATTCAACTACTGCATTACTCCTCTGCTGCTGCAGGAAGAACACTGTCATCCCAACTGCTGCTCGAGTCTCAGACTGGCAAAACAAAAAATGAGAGCTCATTCCCCATAATACCCAACAGAACCCTGCACGATATTGATTATGGTAACAAGAAAGGCTCATTATCAGCATGAAACAAAAGTACTGCAGAAAAATACAAATATGTTGGTTTTGCACATTAATTGTTTTGTGATTTATTTGAACCATATCACCTTTTCCATTGCAGTGAGGTGGTATGAAAAGCTACATCCCAATCCAAAGCCTTTTAAAGCCAACAAAAACATAAAGAATGTAAGCATATATGTAACATCACTCACCTTTGGCACTAATGACATGGTGTCCAAATTGTCAGCAACACCTGTTTGCCCTATCTGCTTCCTTTCATTTGTAGCGTTCCTAAAATGAACTTAAATCATCTTCTTTTGTAAACCCAGCACTAAAACTACAGACACATGTTACAAAAAATACACCACGATGCAAATAAAAATCTCCTAAAAGAAGTGCACGTTTCACTTGCAGTTGATATTACAATAAAATACCAATTCTTACTGAACTACCTCTCCATTACAGCCATATCCAGCTTTACAGCTGTGGCTTTACAACAAACCAGCACCAGGAGCAGATGAGGCAATAAGCAGCTGCCACGTATGCGTTTTAGATGACGATTTCTCGTAGGTAAGAGAAGCCTGTGACTTGAAGTCTTGCAAGTTTTAAAATAAACCATGCACATTTGGACCAGGTATCGCAGTGTTTACCTACGTCTGACAACACAACGGTAAGACCTTACGGCACTACTTTTGTGGTTAAAAGTAATACTCTAGTTTGACTGACACAGGGCGAGTTATCTCATTCACCTTTGTCAAAGACACTTAGATACTGATGTTTTTCAAAGCATTTATTTGCATCTTGACACATCTATGCCAAGTAACTCGTGCAGACTCACAGCAAGACGGCAGGACAACGGAGACCTTAGCTCAGCTTCCTCAAGACTTGCTAACATTTGTTGTCCTTCTTGCCACCACCAGCTTCCAAAACAGCCATCTTGCTGTTAACCCTCTTTTACCGTTACACTGTTCTATTTTACCCTATCACCTTTTGGGGGACTGAAGAAGAAAGCAATTGATTATGCAGAAGCAAGGAGATGGCCTATACACAGAGTGCTACCTACTGAACAAGCAAAATAACTCTTTGATTTTATCTCAGTTCAAATCAAGTTAAGAAGCGAGATTTCAGAGAGAAGTGACTTTATTGTTGGTGATGTGTAGAACAGGAGACATAGCACAGTGCTGGGTGTTCTTTCAGGCAAAGCGCATTTCACAGAGAAAAAAAAATACAGCTCAAGTTGGCACTGCAGCGAAGACTCATTCAAAAACAAAACTTGCATAGAAGACTGCACAAGGGACATGAGAGACACTGGTAAGGCCTAACAGGGTGGGGGACGACTCACAGCTCTACTGAAATGAGAAATCCTGGCCGTACTGAAATCATTGGGAACTTTGCCACTGACTGTAAGGAAGCCAGGTTTCACGCCCACGCGCTGGAG